AAATAAGTATGACTTGCCATTATATTTTTTTAATTTTCTAAGAGGGATTTTATGACTACTTCAAAATTAATGCGCAATTTACGTATAGAGTTATTATTAGGAAGCTTCTTTCTTGTATTTGAAATTGTAAATTAATATTTAGTATATTCTTCAGAAAATACCAACTGAAGAAGATAAACACATAACAAAATCCTTGAAGTTTTTATTTTGCTGTTCAAAATTATTGTTAATTTAGCAATTTTTAGCTTCCTTTAAAGCTTTTCTTTTTTTGTTCAATTTTTTCATTCGAGGCTTCAATACTTTTAGAAAAAGTCAGCATTTGAATGTAGCAGTTCGCAGTTAGCTGAGATTAACATCACAGAGGAGAATCTTATCTTTAGCAAATGAGTTGAAATTTAATCCTAAAATTGATGTGATTAATTTTACAGAATTATTTTATCAATTTGTGATTTTGTAATCAATATTCTAAGCAATTCTGTAAATGAAATTTTGTTCCTATTTTACATAGCATTTCTTACTGCAAACACTTTTTGAAGTGTGGTTTTTCAGTTTTGCTCATCAATTTGATTCTTCAATCAGAAGGCTTAATGCAAGCTAAGCTTAAGCATTACCAAAACACTCACTTTCATTCGCAGAATATTCTTTCCATTGTACTTTCAAATTTATTAGAGTATACTTCACAAGCAACTAAGTAACACTTCTACTTACTTACTTACTTCAATAATTTCATTACTTGTGCTTTTACTACTTGTGCTTTTACTTTTAAAAATTACTTACATTTGTTGCTTATCACCAATAAAAATTTCACCACTTTTTTATGAATTTATCGTACTTCTCATGACTGTTTTTCATTGAAATATTCATCCAAGAATTTCACATCGCTTCACTTACAGTTCAATTTTGATTTGGTGCAAACTTGTATTTGCATATTTAATTCAATAAAGAATCAAAGTGTTTTTATACTTTTGTAAAGATCTGATAATCCGTTACAATCAAAATAGACTTAGTATTTAACTTTGTTTTTAAGATTCCTAATCTAAATATTTGAAGTCACCAAAAGACGTCTTGCAATGAGTGCTCCTTTTTTCTCAGCATTCTTCGATTCTTGAATTTCAAACAAACGCTTTGTCATTGTTTTATTTATTGTCATTCGTTCGTTACTTATAAACAGACCTCGGAATTTATCGATCAAGAGCAGTAATCCTATTAGATAATGCTAAAATAAATTTGAAACTAAATCAGCAATAAATTAAACTAAATATAACGATAATCATTGTGAAAAGTCAAATTTTAACAATATTTTTTGTCCATCAAATAATGTATTCCAACTTTGCAAGTTAATAATTCTTCCAGTAGTTAGTACCGGCAGTTTATTCAAGAATAAAGTTCAGTTATGGTAGGAAAGTTCAGGAACTAAATAAGATCACTGTAGTTAGTTGATCTAATATAGTGATCTATAATTAGTTCCAGAACTTATAGTAAGATATTTGAATAGAGTAACTTAGGATAACCCACAGGAATGAAAAAATCTCCCAAGTTTTTGCAACATTGAATACAACTTTAATTAATTTAGAAAGTACAAGGAATAATTTGGCATTTAAGTTAGGACTTATTTCAAAACACAACACATTAGGAGAGTTGCAAGAGTGTTGCAATTTAATATAGAGCGATATATCTGGTTAGCATGATAAATTATGATATTGCAATTATAAATCAGCTAAACACTAACTGAAAAATTCTTCAAGCTAAAATGTCAGTTTCACTATTACACTTATAAGTATTTAGTTTGTTACTCAAAGGAGTAAAGTAATTATCACATTATTTTCGATCAAAGTTTGATATCAAACTTGTAATCTCTGTAATTTAATTCCTGAAGGCTTAATAGCATGCTGCCAGTAACTGTATTAGTAATGGATAATTTTTTCAGTTAAAAATGAACTAATTTATAGAATTTATTGAATACATTGTATTTGACAACAATGGCCTAACAATTTTCTAAATTTGTTTCAAATTTTGGGTAATGCAAAAAGCAACTTCTGAAAATGACTTTTTCTTATTAAAATACTAATAAAATTCGTAATCACTTTGAAGATTACTCAATTAGGATGCTTTTGAATTCACTATTGGTGCAGTTATGCTATGAAAAATTCATATTCATCCACAGTAATTTCTGTTCTTGGAATGTGTTAAATGAAGTGACCAAATTTTCAGCACTTTTTTCAAACTAATGAATGATTATAACTTTACTTCAGCATTTTACTGAAGTCATTCAGTATTACTAATGAAATTGTATTAGCGCGAAAGACTGTCATTAAAAAGCAGAATATTAATGAAACGGATGACGTTCCTAAGTGAAGGGACTACTAGGTAATAACTAGCTCTGAATAATGAAACAAATGGTAAATAAATTAAACGATCAGCTCAAAAGCAGCAAAGGTGCAGTAATTGTATAGTGTTATTTGAATGTGTGAAGCAGAAGTTTATTTAAAAAATGTGCAATTAAAATCCAAAAAATTAGAAATATGCTAAGTTTTCTTCATGACTGACTTTAGAGTTATTTTTATTTTTGCATTAAAATAACTGATAAGTTTTCAATTAAATATTGCAGGGGTAAATTGTTTTAAATGAAATATGGAACTATTTTGTAGCTATTCTATTTTTTCTTTAATTTAAAATGAATAAAATTGCTGATGAATTTGCATTAAAATGCAAACTACATGTGTTTTAAAAAGAAATGCTGCAGTGGTTAAATATAAAGCTGGATATGAATTGAAATTTCAAATGATAGCTAATTTTGATCGACATCTAATACATCAAATATTCGTTGGAACAAATGATGTTGTGTTGTGAATACTAATTATAAATACTTAGAGAGTGGATAAATTATTAAAATTTATACTTTTCATTTTGACAGATAAAATATTAATGTATGTACTTTTTTCATTTTAATAACAGAATTGCTTCACAAAAGGAATATATATGACTTCTTTAATTTTATATGACTTCCAGTTATTTTTATTAGTTCCTGAAGCTGAGCAAATAAACATTTATGTATATATAAGACATTTATTTAAATTGAAAGTTTCAAAGTCTCAAAAGACTACATTTTTCAATAAAGTTGTAATCATAAATAAAATGAGGAGCAAAAATCAGAGAAAAATGTGCTCAATTTTAAAACTGATCAAAATGTTTTAGTTTTCCTAAATTTAAAGTCTTATCCATCTTTTTATTACTTATGATAAGTTAAGCTTCTGCAAGCAAGTATTTTAACTACTTTTCCTAGTTCGTTTTCACTGCCTGAGCAACAAATTTTTAATTAAACACATTATAAATGTTTCGAATTTGAATTACTCATCAAAATTATATCGAAATAACCTAAATGACTTGTAAAATCTTTCATTAAAATTATTGATATTGCTTTCAAATAAAAATAAAAATTTGATATTAGTAATAATACATGAAAGCATATTATCATTAATGTAATTCACGTTGATGAGTTAAATGAAAAAGTAAACTTACTTTTTAAAAGTGATTATCTCTTTTTTAATCGTAAATTACTCTTCTGTAGTCATTTTCTCAAATGATCTACCTTTTTTAGTTTTGACTAATTAATCAATTAGAATTATTTTTCGCAGGTTATTCATTAATATAAAATTACGAACGTGAAGCAGGTGAATGCCTTTGTGAGGAAACAATCTTTCAAAATTATATAGGTTCATTTGAAAAAAAATTAGATATCACATCAGATTAGTAATTTAGTTTCCAGTTAAAAATCAACAACAATAAAGCAATTATAATAAACTATAAGGGATTTTTATTTCATTTTTATTAAATTTAATTGGAGTGCAAAATCAAAGCCTAATAATAAAGACTTCAAGAAACCAACGTTTTAGGTTCTTTTCTAATAGATTAAAATTTGATTTTCAGTAGATAACAGCAAGGCTTTGAAAATGAATTAAGCCTAAAAACATAGCACATATCTCTATACCTTGTCAACTTCTTGCTTTGCCAATTCATCATTTTATTTTGAGTACTACTTTGTTCTCAAATTTTGCCAGTGATGAAAGCAGATATTTGACATATTATATTTCAAATCTAAAAAGTCACATAGTACAGAATATATTATTAATTCTGTAGAATCTTATTTTATTCTGTAATGTTATTTGAGCAGTGAAGAAATTTGTCTCTTGCTGAATGAATGAATGATGTTACTTGAACTGAAGATTTTGTTAAAACTTCTCAACTGTGGTAATATTTGCACGTACAAATTCCAAAATATATTTTTCAGCAATAATGATAATAACAGAGAAATACAGTAAAAAGTCACTTTTCGGCTATTTTATTAATCATTTATGATCTCTCAGATATCTCTACTTTTATAATACATTTATCTCTTCTTCAAATTTATGAAGTCGCTACTTCGTAATTTTTTTTCAGTTTAGAGCAAGCACATTGTTGCAATGTTACTGCGGTGGTGCCAAGTACAATGCACGTTTCTTTTTCTCGCTATAATAAATGTTCTTTTTCTATGATATATTATTTAAATTATCGTTCGACTACATAAAATAGTAAAGTTAATTCTTTATTTTTGCGTGATAATCAACACTTGACAATTTATTCTTGCCTATTCATACATGAGTACTTGCTTTCAACGCTTTTCTTTCGCCAACATTGAATAATAATCCAACAGTAGCATTATTTTCCTGAACTTCTTAAAAAGTTCTACCACTAATATTTCACTTTCTCCCTGCACTTTTTCTCAAAGTTGCTATCGTTTCTTGCCATTTATGAAAGTGTCATTTTACGTCAAATATGTTTACAGCACAATTCTAGCATCTAAATATGTCAAAGTTCAATGAATTTTCCTTTATAAGAGTCATATTTTTTGGTAATAGCTTTGTGTACAGTGCTTCTTGAAGTTATTATGACTTCCTCAGCTCTCCGCTTATGTTACTTGAACTTGACCGAACTGCTACTCTTAGTAATCCTTTTTCAGGATAATGGATTTAAACAATAATAATGATGCAGCAAGAAATTATACTATAACCAGAATTCCCAGTGTAATGAATGATGAAGTATCTAATATTGACCCAAGCTGCTATATTACCAATAATGAACATGTAGTTGAAAGATTCTGGCTGGTTACAATTCTTGGTTCAACCCTTAGTACAATAAGTATTGTAGAAAATGCTTTCCTATTTCTAATTTTTATTACTAGTAAACAGCATCGTCGTAGTCATTCGCTTTATTTACTGATACTTGCTTTAACTGATCTCTTTATTAGCTTTACTTACATACTAATTATGTCTATAAAAGTACTCTATCAATACAACCAATGGGTTTTTATGAAAAGAATTTGGTACATTTTTCATCGCTACTTTTAAGCACTAAAAATCCGCATAAATTAACGAGAAAAACATACAATTAAAGGCAAAAAAAGATGAAAAATTATGCAAATTAAAAGCTCGAAATATACAAAAAATTCAAATTTTTTTCCATAATACAAAGTTTTAACACACATAATAGCGCTTTCTTAATATTTTTGCTTAGAAGCATCTGTAAATTTATAAAGAATTAAAGTCGAAATTACGTAAACAATATTTAACAGTAGTCATTTTAGGATTACTTATGTGGTACCAATGATGACAATGTCTCACGTTGCTATCACTGCTTCATCCTTTCTAATTGTATTCGCTACAGTGGAGCGTTTTTGTATAACTCTTTCAAATCATTACGTAGAGATTCTACAAAATAATCGTGCTTGCTTCGCTTTAGTAGCAATTTTTATTGGCATACTAACAAAGGGAACACTGCTGCTTGAATTGAAAGTAAAACTATCTTTATTTTTCCCTAAGGCAATTTTAAAGCATTTTGGAATTTATAGTTATTACATTTAGAAATTAGTCTGAGATGTTATTTTATGTTTTATTTCTTTTTTTATTTTTACTGTTTATAAATTCAAAATAAAATCTATCCTTTTTTGCTTCTAAATAAAAGTTTCCATTCCATACAGAAGCATTACTATATCATCTGAAGTCACTTTCTAGCATTAATACTAAAAATAAATCAAAATTTCAAAAATATAAAACAATTATAATGAATTCTTCATTCACAAATTCTGAGATGTAAATAGTTTTACTTAAAGATTAAATGAGAAATATTTTATTGATCTATTGAATGATAATAATTTTTGGTTATGAATGGTTATTCGTTAGAAGGATATTTCTATACTGGTCTAAGTTTTGCTCGAACATTTTTTATTCATTTTAGAGTCACTCTTAAAAACCGTTTCACAAATGAATAATTTTAAAATATAAATAATTTTGTTTTTGGACAATTTATATTTTCTGTAAAAGTGCTATGCATTTTTGATTTCTAGCCAGTTCACGATCCCGATTGCATTGGAACGCTTAATGAATATCGTCTTGAACTAACTGCATTAGTGATTGATAATAAACATTACAAACTATTTCGTTTTTGGTTCCGAAATATTGTCACTATATTATTTCCATTTTTCACTCTGATGTTCCTAAATGTTCGAATTGTCAACGAACTTAGGAAGGGATTCAGTACCGGAAGACACCATATAGATTCCATTCGAGCTGACAGCGCGAAGGAACGAAAGGTTTTCTAGCAAAAATATTCGTTTTGAGATCAAGCAAAAAGTATTAGTTAATTTTGAAACATTACTGATATTAATCCTTATAAATCTATTCAAAATAACTCAGGAAAGAATTTAACTTGAATTTTTAACCTGAAATTCATCACTCCATTGATGATTTACTATTTATGTCAAGAGCAATCATTTTGACATCAACCAGTATGAAAACAAGATGAGCTTTATGGAAAAGCAGCATCTTATTAAAAAATTAACACTGAATTTTCGTGAATAGTTATAATGTATTTGGATTTGCTTTGAAAAGAAAAAAAAATAGCACTTAGCATCTGAATATCACAATAATTGTGATAACATCACAATTTTTTGTCTGTGATATTACAATCGCCTCAAATCCATCCAAAAATAAACCTGTTTTTTCCAACCTGTAAACCCGTCTATTTGAAAATAATTATTTAGTTTTTAAACATATTTATATTTTGAGTCAATCTCAACATCTTATTAGAACTCATTGTTATTGAAATTACTTTAACAATATGAAAAGCCTAGAATTAAAAGATAATTTTGGTTGAGTAGAAGTGAAAATGAAGCTGTATACGAGAAATGATGGGAAAAAGTTTGCAAATAAGAATGATAATTTTTCGTTATGAATAGCTATAAGTTTGCATTCGTTTTGAAGAATATTTCTAGGCTCGAATTCGAGCAGCTACTCGAACATTAGTGCTTGTAGTATGTACTTATCTTCTGGCAAATATGCTCAATGTTATTATCACTATTTGGGAGCATACTGATGCCACGTCCCTCTTTAGTAGGTAAGTGAAAGTAAAAATTTGACAGTACTTCGACAATTACTATTAAAAATAATTTAGTTAGAAATTGATGCACATTATTATCAAAAATTTGTTAACAATTATATAATACGATGATCTGAAAAAAAGTTTCACTTGATAATATAAAATGAATTTTAGGAGCTCAGTTCTAAAATAGTAAAAGTGTTTGCCTAAGTAGTTTTCTATATTTTTGAAAAAGCTTAAACACTTTACAGAGTAAGCACAACTCTATGCAAGTCCAAAACCGAAAATTTACAATCAAGTTCTTCAACTACTAATGATTTTTACTCTTTTTTCTTGCAGTTTCTTGGATTTCTATATATTTAGTGTGGATACTGTATCATTGTTGACTATCGTAGCGTGTGCCTTACGTTTGCCCATTTACGCAAGTTGTCAGCCAACTCTTCGAACGGAAATGATACATTTTGCTAAAAATTTTTGTAAGCGACAAAGACAACAAACAGACGAACAATGTATCACATCATCTCTAACGACACATAATGGTACTGTAAGGGAAACATTACTTTCACACAAATAAAAGAAATTAATATAATTGTTAATTAAAATTGAAACTACTAAAAAATTTTTTTTAGTCATATGCCTTATCTAAATTCTGTTGTACATCACTAAGCAACTTGTAGATCAAATTAACTCTAAAGGCTAATTGTATTCATCAAAGTTTTAATAAATCAAAACCTTAACTTTAAGAAATGCATTTCTGTTATGTTCCATTTATTCATATTCATACTAATAAATAAATCATATTTATTATCAAAATGAGAGCATTTGCATGACGAATAAGAACAAAGTATAAGCTCTTCCCCTTCAAATAAAATAAGCAAACTTGAAGCAAAACTTCTACCTCTCAAGTTTTACTGATGAATAAGAAGAATAATTTCACTTCACATTTATAATTTCAGTCTCATCTACATCAGTGTTAAACATGGCTGCTTGTTTATGCTAATTTGAACTTGCTGCTCATTTCTGTCAGTTTGAATTTGCCTTAATGATGACAATTATTTGCAAGCAAAATATACCGAGAAAACTCGTAACTTAGATCAGAACATTACTTTGCACACAGGTAAAAAGCGTAGATAAAGTGAGTGACCTAACAAGTTTCTAAAATAACGAGGGAACTACATGATTACTTTTCGTGATCTGATTTATACATTATGAAAATGATTCTTACAAATAATTCAATATCAGATTTTGAGAAATAACATGTGAATTATAATTGCAAATACATGCAAAATTATTCTGCAACTTAAATTTGTTTATTTTGTTAATGACTGATAAGATGAATGCAAGAAGCTGTCATAAATAATTCTAAAATTAAATTAAAAGCACTTTATACCATAGTTTTATTGCATATTTTGAAAGGACGTACAAGTTAAGTCTCTGCAAAACGAAAATTGCACTCAATTCAAAACAATGCAAAATAAGCAAAGTATCTGTGATTATCATTAGACTAGTTTTGTTGAATCTGAAATTGCTGGAAGCTCGAAAATCTAGCAAGAATCATGATTTGAAAAAGAATACACAATGTTATAGGATAAAAAGTAGTAGTAGTCAATTAAGAATTTCAGTCTGTTGCGCAGAAAGAAAATCAGCGCGCCTTATATTCTTATTTTAGTTCATATACACAATTAATCAAGAATTTACATAAAGCAAAAAATTAAGCGCAAGTAAAATCATTCAAAAAAAATTTAAAATACAAATGCAATTATTACTTTTTACATAAAATTTAAGGATAAATTTGAATGGAACTAAGAAAAAAAACGTGAAAAATTTACATGTGTAAAAAAGTTTGATCAAATCTCTTAATATTCAAAAAACCGAAATTAGTTCGGAAAAAAATTTCCATACCATAAATGAAATTTTATAAAAGCGAAACATAGAAGAATCAAAGGGATCATTCCAAAATTCCTTATAATACAGTCGGTGGAAGTGAGATTCTATTTGTACAGAAGTTTTCATCTTTTTCACTATCTAAGAAAGTATGCATGCTATTAAATTTCTGCCAAATCTGAGAATTTTCGATACAATAGTTGAGTGAAAATGACAAAAATTAGAACAGTTTCTGAAAAACCGAAACCATATATATCATAATAAACATTACAAGAAACAAATATAAATACACAAATACTCTACAATGCATTTTGTATTGGTATATTAAAATCTCAGCAATAAAGTCATTTGATTCAATGATCTAAAAATAAAATCAGATTCGATTCTAGTTTTAGGTTCAAAGTAAACAAAAAGTATGGTATTAGTGGAATATGTAATGAGAATAATTTTATGCATTTTTCCGATTCCACTGACAAGTTTTCTTATTTTCGAATGCTGCAAAAAGAGACGTTAGTCATGACCTTTGACCTTGTCAAATCAAATAAACTCTTCGAATGCTATGTCCTGATTCTGCAGTAATAGATTATATATTCATTGTGTAAAATAAATGCATATGAACATGCAGTACTTGCTGATACAATTGATGAAACATAAGACTAAACAATTCAGCTATCTCTGCCTGTATCTTTTATTTCATTTTCTTGGAGAAGCAATATTTTAGCAAATAATTTTTGATTTTGGCACAAAAGAAATTATTCGTACAAATAATGATCTATTTTTTAGCTGCAATAAGTGATAAGAAAATAAATAATGAAAAGCAAACCAGCTGTGATACAAGTTATTTGAATGGTAATACCATACAATTAAGCGAGCGAGTTTCATTTTTACTAACTATTATGATGCAATATGAAGTAAAAAAGTAATAATCTTCTTCAATGACTTCACAGAATCTGAATGAATATTTACTGAAGAAATTTTCATATGCAACAGAAAGAGGCAATTAGAACTGATAATATTTTTGCTTTTTTAAAATGGACGTTCTTCGGATATTGTAGGAACTTTATTGCCGTCAGCAAATACAGTAAATAGCAGCACTTTGCATACTAAAGATATTGCTGTGGACTCACAACTTATGGTAAGAATAATTTGGTAAATCAATTTCATTGCAAAATGTAATTTTAGGTCTCATACTTTTAAGAATGGAAAAAAAAATTCTATCCAAAAGAAAAGTGATTATATCTATTATATTGCTACACAACTAGAACAGTTTTTAGAGCCGAGAAAAGCAAAATCTTCGTCTAGCACTCATACAAACTTTACGAGGATTACAGGTATCTTTGCAATCTGATTCTACGTTTACTTTGAAATTGATAATAACTGCAAAGTTTTTGATTTATCCACATACTTTCTGATTCCTCAAGAACATTTATTTGCAGGAACGCAATAAAAAATTACAAATGGTATGGTATTAATGGCTAATATTTTATTGAGTAAAAATATACGCATTTTAACTTCATCTCTGCTTGCTGCTTACTCACAATTCTTACAATCTAATAATCTACCTTCATGAAGATTGCTTAAAATAAGAATTGCTTTTTACTAACCTTTCAATGCTTAATAGGCAATAAATTAGATCTAAATTCAGACAAATGATTTAATGAATTTGACTAGCTAGTTTTTCTAGTCTTATAAGATTGTTCTTAGTAATATTTAATTTTTTACAAGCTTCAGCAGCTTGATAATAAGTGCTACTTCTGCTGCTCATTTCGACAAATATTTTTATACATGAAGTGAAAACTTGTTTTATTACTTCAGTACGCCATGAACTGGTCTGTTTTTTTAGATTCTGTAGAAAGGAAAAAAGGAAAATCATCTGTTAATTCCCTTATAAATGGAAGGGAAACTTGACTGTTAGTAAAGCTTTAAAAGTTTTAGGCTGTAAATAAATCAAATGAAAAAGACTTGTCCGCTGTACACACCGAACCATGAAATAAGTGTGTGAAGAATGGACATAAGAAAAAATAAGCTGAAAGACTGCTTTGCATTTCATATGGATTCTATGTTTGCTTATCTGTTACTACAGCTTGAATCAAAACAGTAACCGAAGTCAGATCATAATAGACAAAGCACCATTGTTTATGCTTGAACTCATTCAATTGTATTGACTTAAAATTAGCTCAGTTCAAAATTTCAAATTATATTATTTCATGCACAGTTGATATTATGTAATCACATGCTTATTTGTTAACACAGTCAAAAGTATCAACTGGTGGTTGATAATTTATTCGATTTTAGTGTTTGAATAAAAAAGAGCAATTTCGTTACTGAATTACATTATTTTATTGAGTTTAAGTTAAGTAATAATAACATGCGTTGGAATCACCTGAAGTCTCGGATAGATAGATTACTATTTTAATTTGTGAAATTTAAGAATTTGGACGTGGAAGCTATTAATTGCAGACAAATCAATCACTCGCAGTCAAATGAGGACAGAAAATGACTACAGTGCGCTGCCCAACGCACAGATCAAAGTAGTCACAATGAATTGTTTCGCAAGTAGTTCAAATGAATGCGGGATTCAGATTCGTTCACAAATAAGCCAAAATTATTTGACAATTTTTTCTGAAGAACAAAACGATTACGAGTATTTGCTCGGAATGAGAAGTTGCTATTCTTAAAAGTAATGATCATATAGTGGTTATTCGCTAAAACAATAGATCACAATGTACATTACTGACATTTATAAAAAGCGTCGAGTAATAATGACTTCGGAAAGGTACAAGATTTTCTGGTAAAACCAGGAATTTCTTCAACAAAATTAGTTATGCCTTCAAAAATGTGAGTCAGTGATCTTGAAACTTATCATTAATCTGCGGTTTCCCGATTAGTTATTATAGAGACAACCTTTATTAGTACTAACATTGCAGTTAAGAAAACCATGATCTTCATCCATGCTGTAATAAGAGATGATTAAGATGAATTGAATTCGAAAAAAAGCTATAATTTCTGCAAACCTCTTCAGATACCGAATAGGTACCAATGAACACTGGACATTTATAAGTTAATTTGTCCTTACAATCAAAGTCTTTTACTGAAATTAATTCGCTAAATATAGAAAATCATCATAAATAAAATGGGGAAAAGGCGGGGAGAGGTGATTTATTAAACAATGTCAATGCTTTCAGCTTCCAATCTTCAACATTATCTTTTTGCATCTGATGGAAAACTTCTTACACAGAGTATTTTCTGTAGAACAATGCAGACAGAGTCTCGCAGCTATAATTTCAATTTCCAAAATACTTGTTTTCTTTGTTATTTTCAGTTCTTTCTGTAAATAAAAATTACGAATTACAAAAATTAATTGTTTTACATGAGTAGAAATCATAATCAAAACAATTTTTGATCACATTTTGTTGGATGAATAACTGATTCTTTGGTAGTATAAATGTAAAAATTTTTATACTAGACTTATAATCACTTAAAAATATTTTTTTTCATCATTACTGCTTTAATTAACCAATGAATTAGTGAATATCTCACAAATAGAAGTAATGATTTACATTTTCATTCCATATTTAAGTGATTCCGACACAAATAGTATTATTACGTTTATATCAAACAATATAATTGAACAACAAGAAATACTCAAAATTAGTAATTCTATTCAAATTTATTAGACTTCATATGCAACGGTTCCTGCTATTTAATCGTGTACTGCCCATGAATTTTTTAAAAACCTACCCTTATGAACATTATAACAAGAAGTGAAGTATATAAATTAGATGCACAAACCATATCCATTCTTTTATAATTTATCTGACTTGGAAGCGGTGACTTGACAACATGGCTACTTGTTCTACATGTGGTAGGTTGATACCAAACAAAAGATTCAAGCCTAATATTTACAAAATAGCTATTGAAAATAAAAATTAAGATGTCAAAGATTACTAAAAAATTTTTTAAAATGAATTTACCACTTGGTGGCGAATATTTCGTTAAGAAACGGAAAATATTTTGAAGTCAGAGAACGAGGAAGTTCAAATTTTCCGAACATTTGCACCTTGACTTGATATAAATATGGTGTTTGACACTGTTGTAACCATTAAACATGTGCTTCTGATAAACATTACAATTCACATGTAAAAGAGAAAATTTCGAATTACGATAAACTACTACTAAAATCAATTCGAAAGATTCATCTCCGAACTGTTTGTTGTTTGGTAGTCAGCAAATTTTCGCTTTTATCAGGACAAAACTTGATTTATGACTAACTAATTGTGACATCTTACAGAGATAAAACCGAAAAAGACGTATAAAATTTATTTGTTCAAACGTGTCGATGCTTTGCGTTGTCTTTGTTTGTCTTCTTGCTGCCTTTTCTATGAATGCGATTTTGAATGCTTTGAACAAAGAATCCTCTTCAGTACTGTTAAATGAACAATTTTGTGACTCCAAACAATCAGATCTTTGCTAATCTCTGACATCTAACCTATATGTTTTATGTAGGGGGTTTGATATCTTCCGCTAGAATGGATTCCGTACTAATGTTGTAATATATAGTTTTCATTAAATAGAATAAATGATGTGTGATAACAATAATTTATTCGGTAATATTTGAAAAATTCATTTAACAGAAAAAAAAAAAACTGACTATGAATTGATCATGAAAATTGAGGAAAAAGTTTTGTACAAATTAATTTCTGGCTTATTTCAAAAATTTGCTTCAACTGTTGCTAATGTGCTTTGGAAAAGCTTTTCCATTGATAATACATTATTCTTATCCCTAATTAACTAACTACTATTCAGATTCGCAATGAGAAGCTGAGATGCAACAAGTGTTCATTGTAATACACAGTTTGGTGGGAATAATCTTGCTTATTATTTCAACATTAATTATAACGATATCGCAGTGTTGTTCAAAAAGAAGATTTTCAGGTCTATGATTGTACCACCTCGAAAAACTTGAAAACTAATTTCTAATATTTTTTAAAAGCAAAATTTGTTTTTAATTCATTTTACTTCTTTCGATTCAGTTCCCAATTCTAAATTTGAACAATTTCTTTTCGTTTTTTTAAAATTTCCTCTTTCACTTTGAGATATTTAATCGAAAAAATGTAAAGACTTGTTCCGACTGGCTATTTCACTTCTACGATAAATTAATTCCGGTTGGATTGTAATTTATGTCCGGCTACTTTTTATTTTCGAGTTTTTTTGAAAGAACAGATTAATTGCATAAAGAATATAAATTATGCAGGTAAAAACAAGGATGGAAATAGAAAATATAGGAAGTACACTAAGGAATTTAAAGACCAAGAACTGAAAGGTAGGGTCATCCACTGAACTGCAGAAGTATTGCTGGGGGTTTTTTTATTAGAATGTTAATAAAAATGACAAGAGTCATGATGGAACAATCTTTTTCACGAAAAGCAGCTGATATAAATAATCATTCACTTATCATGAACTTAGTATTAGACACCGAATTTGATCTCAGTACTGTGGACAATGAAATTAAGACAGACATATCGACTATCAATCTTAATACTGAATGCCTTGTTAGTGATTCTCCTATTTCATGTTATCAAAAACACATATCACTGATTTTTTGAGTAAAATCTCAGCCATAATTACGGAAGAATATGCAAAGTAGTAAGCATAATGATTTGAAAGTGATAGACAGTCTTAGTATAAATGATAATGAATTTGTCTGACTTCGGTTTTAAGAGCAGCGATTAAAAAATCTAAAATTTAGTTGGAGCAGAGAGTCATGCTGAATGATGCGCTGGGTGCTGTTATGAATGCAATGGTACGTGTATTTTCAATATTTGTTAATGGGCATTTTTTGTAAGCATACTCAGGTGCATGAACTGTGCTCTCTTGTCATCATTTACTCAAAGGGAAGAGAGATGAGAATTGATCTACAAGTGATTGCAAATGATTTAGATTTCTCAATTAAATCATGATTTAATGCAGTAGATAACTGGTTGATCTATTGTAGTGAACTGAGAAATGAGCAAATGAAGTGAAAGATAGGTGAAGATAGTTGTCCTCACTCAAATATTTCAACACTTTAACTTTGGGTTTTAAAAAATTTGAAAAGTAATTATATTTCAGCAAACAAAAAATAAAAAAAGTGGGAGTGCGCAGAAGGTAGATACTGCTGGTAAAGCTGGTCAAAAAGAGGCCAAGTTAATAGAGGAAAAAGCAAATAGTAAAAAGCTGAAAACAGCAAGTACTGATCTTGAAAGAAAAAATGCACCTGGGCGGTCAGCGAAGAGAGAAGAAAACGAATCTCAGCGCTTAGCTAAAAATAGACCAAAACGCTCTGTTAAGAATAAACCGAAACGTTCTATTAAGAATAAATCAAAACGTTCTATTAAGAATAAATCAAAACGCTCTATTAAGAAAAAATCAAAACGCTCTATTAAGAAAAAATCAAAACGCTCTATCAAAGGTAAAACAAAATATTCTACGAAAAATAAAGTGAAATCTAGTGATTCACGTAAGTTAGAAGAGAGTGAAAGAAGACGAGAGGAAATAAGGGCAGAAACAACGGCAAGTCTTTTGGCTGTGATTCGAAAACGACCCACACCTCCAACATCTGATGAATATATTATAGTACCATCAAACTACGATGAGATTGTTTTTCCTAAAAGTGAAGAATGCAAGCTGAAAACATCTGTTAGTATGCATGAAATGAAATGTGAGGATTACAAAAATGATCAAGAAACGGCTAAGCATGAACAGATTGATCACACTCAAGCTGAACACACCCGCGATGATACAGCTGATGACGATGAATCAGAAGAGTCATCTGATGAACGAGGAGAAGAAGATCCTGAGCAGGAGAAATTAGATTATGGCACTGATGATGATGGATTAAAAAAATCAGGTAATTTAGTTCAGCAGGAAAATTATAGCAGAAGAAAGCTGGCTTTTACGATTAATCAGGCTGATATCGCGAAAGCAAACATTAATGATGATAATGATAATGAAAATGAAAATGACGATTATGATGATGAGGATGAAAATAAGGACAGCAATAAGCAGTGATCCTTGCAGTTATATTTGTTGTTAATAAATACACAGTTAAATAAATATTTGTAATAATGTTCCAATGACAGCATTTCTATGAAAGATATGAAATATCTTTTCCATCTCAAAATTATTTGAGATGATGATCTGCAGATGCACGTTTTACTTTCCAAACTATTACTGAATTCTTATTGCTTCAATCTGTTCTATTATTTTCAATCAAAAAACTAGTGAAGAAACTAACTAAACTAATTAATTTTCGTTAGAAAACAGATGCTGTTTACTTTGCTTCAATTGGATTAAGAATCTCGTCAATTATTTCACTGAAATTTTTTGCTTTCAGATCTAAAATTTAATAGTAATTTTTCAACTGATCCAATTATCAGACCATAATGTTGCAATAGACTAAGCGTTCGAAATATGGATTGTTCATCGAAATTATGCAGATTTAAACCTATGACTTTCATATTTCAATTATTTTAAACGTTATGCAAAATTCTATAAATTTTCCTAAAAAATATTTTGTAAAATTTACATAAATATGATAAAATCACGATAAATGTAAGACAATTATGCGTAATCAAGTACATTTGGTAATTTCTGCCCTATTATCAGCTCGCTCAATTGATTGCTGCTTAAAGTCATTTCAATCTCATCTGATTCGTGTTTCTAGAAATCTGATAAATTCTATATTTTGTTTGAGAGTTGATCAAATACAGTTTGACGAGAATTATTTTCAAATACAGGCATTACTTCCTTATTCAGATGTCCTTTATCGTATTTATGTAAATTTTATAAAATATTTTTTGATGATGCCACCGCAAGTTTAGATTGAAAGACACAACTTATTACAATTTATCACTTCTCTTTTCAGTTTAACAAGTTTTAGCTTGATTAGATTAAAAAATCGCACTATTAAACCAACGGGAAATACATTTTCCTTAATGATGTCAATGTTTCATTCCTACCTGTCATTAAATATTGTTATGCATAACGACTACAGTTTAAAATGCCTAGTATTTTCAGGTCTGTTTGATGTGAATACTATGGTGGCAGTACTTATTGAAATGGCAAGTACTGTAGCAAACACAATTTTACCAACAGTGCAAATTCAATTCATCATGATTGTATTAATAATGCAATGCCATTACAAAAAAAACCGTATGCTGTATTTTTAAGCAATTGCAAAAAATTAATTTCAGTGTTAATAATTTAAAATTATTGCTTCGATGAAACATAAAAGTTAATGAATTAATTGAGAAATAAATTAATAAGTAGAAGAACTACACAGTATTTATAGAAGCAATTAATTTGCTAATCGCAATTATTTGTAAATATTTTGTGTGCGAAAGATGTTGTGTGGAGCATTTTCAAATTAACTGAGAATTCTTTTTGCCTGCTACTACACATTTTACACCAAATTCATGCAAATAGTACAGTATCAACTTTAATATTGTTTTCACTAACATTCCCCTTTTTGGACTTGTATGATACGAAACAAATATTATAGGCTTCGTTATTCCGTATAATGAAAAAAAGAAAACCAGAAAACATATACAGGAATCAAAAGCTCAAAAAGAAGCAGCAGGTGAGTTTAAACTCTTTGCATGGTAACTGGTTGACTTAATCCACATAGTAACTTAATACCAAAGGGAACTCTAATTGTTAAAGTGATGCGCAAAAAAATTACAAAGAAAAGTTTAAGTCCTATATTTCTCATGCACTTTGTTGCGTGAATACGTAAATTTTCATGACATTTGCACGTAAATAGACGTGAGTCTTAAACTGACGAAAACAAACATCGAAGAAAGTCATTTTTATTTTGGGGACTAGTTACAAAAAAATCGGAAAATAGGATTAAAACTTGAACTTTTCAGTTTAATATTCATAAAAATTGATACAAATCTTGAATACTTTTCCATACCCTAATTTTAAATTTATTCTGAAATCCTTGCAATTTAATATAAAAATTGACAAAAACAATTTTGTGATATTTGTTGTGTTAAAATTGAAAATGTACATAATTTATAAGCCCTTGGTCTTCGAAAAGCACAAAAAAAGTTAAAAAGCAGCGCAGCAAACAAGCCGACTTCTGCTGCTAATGCGCATTTAAGTGTTGGTACACTTTCCTTTTCAATTTTATTACTCGGAATATTTGAAAGATATATTTTTATAATAATCCACATTTTAAAAAAATGCTGTCACAAATTTTTTCGTGGATAATAGGGATTTATGCTGAAGGACTAACAATGCAAACAGTTTTCATTAATGAATTAAGGGCACATAAGACATTTAGCAAAAAAACAGTACTTTTTCATTCAGATATGCGCAGTCAAATATGTAAATTGATGATAGATGATTTGAATGGAATAAAACTTTGTGCAGAAATATTTGCATTAAATTCAGAAATTTTGCAAATATTAAAACAGGTGAGCAATAAAAAGTTTCAGAAGAAATGTGAAGAAACAAATGAAAAGCAATCAGTGATTGTTGTCGAAAAAAACCCACAGGCGCCAATGTCATTAGTAGTAAAAGATTTAAACCATTCTGCTAAGAGCAGAACCACAATTTCTTCAAGCAAATTACAGTTACATGGCGCCGATTCTCGCATATCACAACCTCTCAGTGATCCTAATCCTCGTACAGTGCCCTCAGATCAATCACATGAAAAACCTCTCAAAAGTGCGGAACAGATTTTAAAAATAGAATCTACTTTACATGACGAAGAAAGAAAATCAAAAAAAGACGAGCAAGATAAGAAACTTCCAGAAGAACAGCTACAGTTGATGGATGAAGCACTTGCTGAGAAAACGAGTCATTCTTTAGAAGAAAAAAGTGATCATTCGATAACTGGCGTAAGTGATGAAGAGGAAAGCGTAAGCGATGAAGAGGAGATACCTTAGCAATCGAATTTTATGCACTGTTAAATTTTAAAAAATAAATTACAATAATTTCAACCTTGCAAACAATATTACTACACAACGTGACAATACTGTTTCAGTATCTATCGGATAGTATCGCTTGTTCTACCGTAAATCATTATGTACTTTTGTGAAACAGACTTCAAAATTCAAATAATCTCCGTCTCCAGCTGCAATAAAACAAACAAACTAGAATAATACAAGACTGAAGGATATCTCTTGGATATCAAATTGAAAAAACAGTTGTAGCAATCGAATACACATGAAAGAGACAATTTGTGTTTGTAGTATATGTATATGTATTTTAGTGCCTTGGATGTCATTCTTATTTTTACGCAAATTTTTATTCATACAAAATACTGTACAGAGCGTTCATATTGCTTAAATAATTTTAAAAAGTGTGAACTTTAAAAACAAAACTAGCAAAAAATACCGTAATTAGTCATGATTAAACCAAAATGCTTCAAATTTACACAGAAGTTACTTGTATTTATTGTGAAATACACGTTTAAACTATATTGAAGATCGTCTGAAACTATCAACAGAAAAATAAGAGTGAGCAGAGTTAATCCACTAAAAGTTTTAACAATTTTTGATGCAGCTGAAAAAGCTGTGTTAAGGGAATTAATCTATAAGAACTTTTAATTTTTTGAATTGACTTTCAAAACTCTGACATTTACGACAGCACATTACTAAGTTATAATGCATTTGTCTCTACTTTTTTGTTGTTTGAATTTTTAGCAAAGAATACTGAAGAAAAACATCTACAAAATAATGCTATGAATGCATGGAGACAGTAATATTTAATATATCATGTCTGAAGTAAGATAGAACAAACAATTAAGCGTATCATTCGATTTTCTTGTAACCTAATCCTGTGCCAATTATTGGAACTTTCCAAGTAAGTGGTGGATAAATAAAGTATAGTGATATTGTTGCAATATTTACAAGAAGTGCAGCAAAATTAGCAATCTAAAAAAAACTGTTTTATGGCATCATTTTATTTTCAATTTTTTAATTTGATTTTATTTTAAAAAAATCATAAAGTCTTGCAATGAACTACAAAGTGTCATTTTTATTATCCTTCTCACGAATTCTGCGCAAAATACTTTTTCGGAAATTGACAGATGTCATTAAAACTTACAGCGATGTAATAATTTCCAATCAAAATACCAAAAATAGTCCACTGTATTACCAAAAGAAAAATTCCAAATTGTAGTTCAGCAGGAATGTATTCCGTGTGACCAAAGGAAATTGCACGTTTCTGTGATATCACTATTGTATATTTGATTATTTGGGTATTTTTTGATCAATATTATAGCAGAATATATGTTTTACAGAAAATGAAAATAAATCTTTGTCGAATTCTAAATAAAATTATGTTTTTTCGTTAAAAGGAAAAAAAAGGCCTCGACAAATCAGAGATGAAGAATACCTCTGGTAACAACAATCTTAACACTCTACATCAGAACATAATATCCAATTTTCATACCATTTCTCTCAGTTTTACGTATTTGTCTCACATTAAAAGTGTTTACAATAATTATCATCAACAAGAATGAACTGTCATTGTTAAATATAGTTGGAAACAGAATGTGTGATTTAAAATCTAAACGTACAATTTCGTAGACTTGTCCAGCCAAACTAAAAATTTGCATAGCTGCTGAAATTCCGCCCATTACATCTGCTGCTTCTTCAAGTGGCTGCCAATTAACGTAAGAAAAGATACAAAGTAGAGAAAAAAACAGCGCAAATAGTTGCCCGTATAAATGTTTCTGGAAATAAAGACTTGAGGTAGTTCAAGCGAGCTATTCTATGCTATTTATAAAATTAATAAATTAAAATTAGAAGATGAAATCAAATAATTCGTAGAATCGAAAAAAATTCACAAAATTGTGATACTTTTGCTTTGAATCGGTATGTACCGATGAAACATTCTCATTAATTGAAATAATAGAAAGAAAGATTTACTCGTCGTGGCTGATAAAAGGCAAATGCAAAAATGTAGCCCCAAAATACGATTAAATTCACAGTATTTATGAACATATTCGTGAAATCATTTGTCATATATCCATGTCGTAACCAACAACACATCCTGAAATCAAGCTAGATTTTAAATGCAATTTTTTAATTTAATTATTTCTTGACATCTAATCCTATGTATTGTAATGAATGAGATAACTTTTTGAATACATATAAAGTTGAAGGTTGTTATATCATTACTACGGTTTTAATACAAGAAAGCATATGTCTTGTTCATGTAGCCAGTATGAGCGACGTCAGAAAAATTTAAATATATGAAACTTTAATACTGATCAAAATATAAGCTTAATAATCTAAGAGCTTTTGAATTTTTCTGATAAAAAGAGCAAATTCAAAATTATCAATTAAAGCTAAAATTTTAGACGTTTTTGTTGAAAAAAAATTACTGCCAAAGGATTGACAGCAAAAAACTAACATCAGGACAGGTAAAACAAGATTAACTGATGAAAAACCTTCAGCTGTGCCACGTTTCTTCCAGTTCAAAACTTGAAATCTGAAATCATATCCACAATTTATTTTCTAACTCGAAATTTTTAACCTTTAGTGTTTGTAAAAGTAAAACTCTGACTCTCATTTACCACAATTTTTAAAAATTATATTAATTTTGCAACATGATACACAACTTAAAAATGCTTTGCTGGATAATTAGATTCTAAGCGTATGGTTAAAAATCTGGCTAAACAGTTAAATATTGTAATGAAGAATGATACATTAAGCTGAAAAATAAGTTTGAATTATTTCAGAAAAATTCTATGAAAGTAATAAAAATCAGTTTCAAAAATTTTACAGCGGCAAAAATGTGAAGCATATGGAAAACAGTGTCAGCCAAATTGCAAATATTGATAACCAATCGATCATCTTTTGATCTGAAATTCGAAAATTTTAGTTAAGACTTAAATTAATTCTCATTTTCGGAACCATTTTTGATGACATTCGCAATGGTTGCGAAAAACGTTATTATTTGCAATTCATTATTAATGATCTACATGTTCATTACTATATTCAACTCATATGATAGTAAAAAGAATCTTAATGAGTATAACAAGAATAACTATTCAGCTAAAATAATGGAAAAAAATAGCAAAAATTTCAGCTGCCTGTCAAAATTTTCGAAATTAATTTTTTTTTGAAAGAATAATTTGAGAAAGATTGCTCGCATTTTGAGCATTAGTGTTAATGTAAAAGCTAAAAAGTATTAGCAAAAACTAAGAGTATTAGCGAAAATGAAAACATTTTGAAAGAAGTAATGCAACAACGTTGAATCTCGAGATAAAGTTATTTTCAGCGATTACAGTTTTTTGTTAGAAACTTTTACACAGTAACTTTTGTAGTTTTAGCTCAGCTAACTGTTCTTCTCATTCAAAATAACGAAAATCATTGTTTGTTCAAGACAAAAATTGTGTTTTTATTCACTTTCTTCAACGATGTCTTTTTTCTAGCTAGTAACAAGTGGATAAATTCGAATGTATTTTGTTTAAATATCAATAGATGAATTTTGGATAAACAACATTACAACAAGCACGCATATCAAATTAAACGCTAAGAGTAGTTCGTTGCAGTCATAGAATAATAAATTTGCGAAAAAAAATCAAAAAAACTTGTCTTCGTGAAATGCAAATATTGCACGGAAGATGGATATTTTATATACATGCTATTAAGGTCACGTATGTTAAGCTAAAATGACATTGGAGACTTCTTGAGTCATAAAAGACAAAAGATTGGAAAAGCTTACATCCCGTGAGAATGTACTGCACGTGAAGTGTGCTTGCTATTTACTTTCTTTGAATTAATCTGCAATCAATAATGCACTGATAACAGTTAATACGAGAAAGTAGTGATAATGACAAGGAAAAAAGCAATGAAATCAATTGTGAAAATTATTTTCAACACAATAAAGAGAGAAAATTTGTTTTTCGATCACACTTTCAAGCAAAACTTGTTTGCGAGTATTATTTCTCTGAGCAGCTTGCGAGAAACAACCACAACTATGAACAAATTCACGCATCTCTAATTTTGTCCTTTCACTAAAATCTCTGCAGTGTTAACTATGAACTTTGACTTTGGAATTTTCCAGTACTCACGGCGATATTGCTCTATGCATAAACAGTACTATGGCAAGTGAGTCTGAAACTTTGCTAAAAATTCTTAAATATTAAATGATTGCAATGTGCCAAAATGCAGAACGAGAAACATATGAATTCTGAGGAAAGTTTATTTTCAGAAAAAGCTTACCTTTGGCTAAGAATATTTCAAATAAATGGCACCTTTCAGCAATGTTCTGCACTCAAAATTGACTCGTTTAGAAGTGGTCAAAAATTTTAAAGGTCAAAGTAATGGAAATTATTAGTGCTCACCACTACCTCAACTACTACCCTGCACTTCTTCTTGATGTAGCGAATTCAAGCAAGCACTGAGTAATCTGATTTACTAATTATTTAATATAAACCTGTTCCCGAAAAAATAATCAATAAATGTTTCTTGCTACTTTTCTGCACTCATTCTTTTGGAAGCTCTGCTTCTTCAACCAACGTGGAGTTTGAAAAATCGGTCATTCGATTATATTTGTAAATTCATTTTAAAAGTGAAAGCTAGAAACTTGTGACGAATTTAAGCGTTGAAATAAAAAAATTGATGATATCGACAACTGACATTGAAGAAATGAACACAAATACTCAATCGTTTTATGCTTAAAAGTTGATTATCTCACAAATGCCTTCAAAATATTCAGCCTCTCATTATGATTTTACGTAAAAAACAATTCACACAAGATGATCCCAACTGTTAAACAGAAAATTATGATTTTGCGTAAAAAACAATTCACACAAGATGATCCCAACTGTTAAACAGAAAACAATTTTACAAATAGCACTTTTTAAAATGATTTTTAAAGTCTCATTGAATTAAAGTTTATTGGAGTAAATTTGCAGCAATTCATTTTCAGCACAAAATAAAGACATTTAATAAGCTAGGAATTTTGTATTAGCTTTCCAACTGCTGGAAAACGAGGACTTCAGCTGTTTTTTTGAACGTTGTATTTTTTTGCTAGAATAGTTATAGGTCTCTTTCAAAAATTTCATTATTAAATTGTTAAGGAATTGAAGCAAATTCATTCACGTTTTTGAGTTGAAAGCTTTATTGTGTGATTAGGTTCTAAAAGCACAGAAATTGATAATTGCATTAAAATTGAAAAAGCATTAGTAAGTGTCATCACTTGTATTTGTTCATGAAATTAGAATGGAATGGCTTGAAACGGGTCAGCATTTCTTTCATTAAATCCGTTTGTGGTAAAATTGTTGTCCTAAAAATATGCTTCGATTAATTACATCAGCTTTACTCTCATTTTTTAAGCTATTTCAACTACTGATTTTTAAATACTTTACAGATATAAAGTATGATAATAATCAAAATTATAAGCAGTCATCAGACATTTCAAATTAATGTTTCACAGAAAAAAATAAAAATTAATTTTTGATGCCAATAAAAAAATTATCTCTCAGTTTAGAGATAGCATTCAGTATTATTAAACTTTCAGATCATATAACACATAAGTATTATAAAACTTATTTGATGAAATAACCTATCGCCGAAAATTCTGCCATTATCAATTACAGTATCGTTTTCGTGTTAGTTATGTCAAGTAACTTCAAAAAACTTTAATCAATTTATCATCCTAAAAGTTAGAATATTGGGCAATAT